TTTTTAAATCCTTTTTTTCCTATTACAAATATCAGTAGTTATCACTAGAACAATTAGATTGAAAAGTTTAATTGAAAAACAAACATGAATTTGAGAATGATTGGTATTAGCTTTAGTGACAACTCCATGAGTTTGTGTCAAAACTAATGATCATATTCTCGAACATGATTCAAGATGAACTAGAGAACTTGAGTTTCGGTATCATCATTTCAGCCGCTTACCATCTGTTCAGAGAATCACATGATCAGTGTATACTATACTATATAATAAATAATACTGTAACCTGTAATATTTCACATTTTTGTAGAGCAGCCATGGTTTTCCATTGGTTAGCAGGACAGTACGAGTCATCTCTGCATGAATATTATATGAATGACCCAAAGAGACCTGTGCTCACTGTGCTTATTTACGTCCCTGCAGATGGGCTCTCTGGTATTTCAAAAATGACAAGAGCAAAAGTTGGACAGAAAATCTGCGTCTCATCTCCAAGTTTGACACAGTGGAAGATTTCTGGGCGTAAGTGTTTTTCCCTTCTCATATATTGAAGTCACATTATCATCCCTTTTTTTTTTTATCTTATAACAAAGCTTGAAAATTTGAATGGCAAATTATGATGGATTTGACTTGACTCCTCAGATTATACAATCACATACAGCAGCCCAGTAAACTTGGATTTGGCTGTGACTACTGTTTATTTAAGGTAAGATCAGGAAGTGTGTGTGTATATGGCCAAACTGAAATCTGTGGTTGATTATTAACAAAACATTTTATTGCAAAGCAGGTGCATTTTTGAGTTTCTGTGGGCATCACTCTGGCCACGTGTGATTTTAATTATCTGCATGCTGATAAAAAGATGAATGTTAGCAATTTGCAAAAATGACAAAACGCTGATCTCCAGATTATTTTGTATGTCTCAGGATGGTATTAAACCCATGTGGGAGGATGACAGGAATAAACTCGGTGGAAGGTGGTTAATGACCCTCAGCAAACAGCAAAGACACAATGACCTTGACCGCTACTGGATGGAGACAGTAAGACTTATGCTTTTTTTTGCTCACGTTTTCACATGGATTAGTGGACAGCTCGGTGTGCATATTGACTGTCTGTGTTGTTTGCAGCTGTTGTGTTTAATCGGAGAGTCCTTTGATGAAGCCAGTGAAGACGTGTGTGGAGCTGTGGTCAATGTCAGGCCAAAGGGGGATAAAATATCCATCTGGACGGGCAACTGCCAAAACAGGGACGCTATCATGACGATAGGGTATGTTGCTTACTTTGTACAGTCTACACATAGATGCAACACATTAAGGAATTTAAAGCACAAATAAGAACAGATCAGATGTTTCCACTTGGTCTAACATTGGAAAGACACTACCGGAGTGTGATATTCCAACCTGAAATGTTTGTTTGATGTAAATATGCTGATATCTAGCTGTTTCTGTACCGAAGCCTTCATTGTGACAGTGAAATCTGTTGTTCTTTCCCTGTAGGCAACAATACAAAGAGCGTTTGAGTATCCCAATCAAAACCCTCATTGGATACCAGTCACATGACGACACCTCTAGCAAAAGTGGCTCTACAACAAAGAACATGTATTCAGTTTGAAGAAAACTCATTTCAACTCATTGTAGGTTTATAAAATTTCAAATTCGCATCACATTAATACTTTTGAGTTGTCAGCTACTATAGTGTCCTTCCTTTTTAAGAAAAGAAAAAAACGTCAAATATGTAAATGTAGTGCTCTCCAGCCTGAAATGATCAGCACCGTTACCGTGTGGATCAGGGGACGTCTGCTTGTTTAGACCTGAGAGAGGACCGCATCAGCTAAAGCTATACGAGTTGAGCTAGATGTTACTGATATCATTTTAGTCATTCAAAGGACTAATCGAGACTTACCTAGCTGAAGAGGTTCTAAGGCTTAGATAAGAGACATAGCGTTCTTTGCTTTAACCTTTCTTTCTCTCACGCGTCACGCCATGAAGTGTTTCTCACCGTCAGACGAACAAATAAACCCACACGGATGTTTTAAGGGCCCAAACTGTTTTAACATGCTTTGGTTGGAGGTGTTTGGCATGAGAAGTGATTGCAGAGGCGCCTGCAGACTGACTGATCTTAAAGGTTTGTAAAGGATTACTTTTGCTCGCGCTCCAAGTTTGGAATTTGGAGGAGTGGTCATTTATTGTTTCAGCTATGCTGGAATTGTGGCATCTTGCTTGTAGACCTATCTAAGATTTGCGTTTCTCCCCTATCATCTATTGATGATATATGCATTGCAGTTGCAACTATGTAGTGAGAGGAACACCATGAAAATCAAGCTCCTGTTTTCTTTCGGTTACTTTTTGAGGTTCTTAGCAATGTACTGCTTGCTGTTTTTTTTTCTTTCAACTATTTTTTTTTTTACAGTGTATTCAGTGAATGCCTGGACATACATGCTTTTTAGGTTTGCTACCACTTTTCCCCTCATTGATACTGTAGACATTTTCTAGTTTGCCCCAATCTTTGGATCAGTGAAAGAAGAGAGGATATTCATTGTGAATTTATTTTGCTCATGTATCTTTATTATCTGTAATTCCAGGATGTATATTACCTTCTTTCAAAGTAAAGGTTATGTGCTTTGCATTAACATTTGAATTTTTTCCCCGTTTCTTTATTCTCTTGAGTTCAAACCTACCTGAAAGTTAAAGAATTGTGTTATGTTTTGTCATCAGCACAAACTAATTTCCCAGTGTATTTTTGAACGGGATCTAGAAGCGGCACCACTTAAGATCAACTAATAAGAGTTTTGCAGGTATCATGTGTTTTTGTAGGCCAAACTAGAAGTTACACTCTTAAAAATAAAGGTGCTTCACTATGCCATAGAAGAACCTTTTTTGTCTAAATGGTTCCATAAAGAACCTTCACAAAATGTTCTTTGTGGAGAAAGAAGGTTCTTCAGATTATAAAAAGATAAGAAAGAGATGGTTCTTTTAAGAACCTTTGACTGTATGGTTCTTTGTGGAACCAAAAATGGTTCTTCTATGGCATCGCTGTGAAGAACCTTTTAAGCACCTTTATTTTTAAGAGTGTAGCATCACCCCGGTTTTCCATTGGCTTTTGGATTGTTGCAGAAAATAAGCTCCGAGACCAATAAAACATTTCCCTTATCAAGATAATCTTCACAAATGAGCACAGCTTTTATAAATTAAATGCAGTCGCCAGGAATAAACAGCTAAAGTTATGCCATAAAGAAACTACATCATGGGTTGCAAAGCTTCAACGTCACCATCACTAAGCTTTAGACAACTCTTCCAGTCTAGTTTGCAAGAGCACCATTATAAACACAACAAAACTGTAAAAGCGGACTAGTGAGTAGATGAGTTTTCCTGTTTGGTGTGAAGATGTTTAATGTCCCTGAAAACCTCTTTTGTCCCATTTATCTACTTGTTAGCAACTGCCTTCAAGATGCTTAAAAGCTTAAAAATCACTAGTTGGCTATTGCTGATGCATTTTATGTCATAGAATAAAAAGTGTAAATATCTTGAGCTTGTGTTTGCCACACACCTTAGATTTTGGGGAAACAGAACCTTGAGTGCAAAAATGCTAACTGGTTTCCAGGTTTTAGGACTAATTTCTGCACTCCTTTCAACGCTGTTCTTTAGCACAGGTCCAGAGTCCTCAGCTGCATCAGTGTCTTTGTCTTATAGCAGAAGTACATAACCTTTCCAAACAAAGTCACTCCTCCACTCTGAAAGTTCAAAAGTTTGAACAAGCTGTCTTGTATCTCCCCTCCCTGTTCTGGAAGTTTCTAAATCATGCAGTATTTGAGATTGTATAGTTACATAGTAGACTATCTGTGAAAACAGTTTCGAGTCTTCATGGCCAATACATATGACTACATTGTTTAAAGGGGTCATATGATGTTGCTAAAAAGAACATTATTTTGTGTGTTTGGTGTAATGAAATGTGTTTATGCAGTTTAAGGTAAAAAAAAAAAAAACATTATTTTCCACATACTGTACATTATTGTTTCTCCTCTATACCCCGCCTTTCTGAAACGCGTCGATTTTTACAAAGCTCATCGGTCTGAAAAGCGATGTGTGCTGTGATTGGCCAGCTATCCAGTGCATTGTGATTGGCCGAATACCTCCAGCGTGTGACTGAAATGTTATGCCCCTACCATACTGTGATGCCCTGTCTGGCCCGGATTTGAGACTTTAGTCTTTGCAACTTTACAGATCTTCTTTATGCACCAAGAGCTTGTAACACTTCAAAGAGAAAGGAAAAATTGAAATCGCATCATATGACCCCTTTAATAATAAAAATGGCAGGAAGAAAACTTTAGATGATTACCCTATTTAACCTGAAAGTGTCAAAAAAAAAAAAAGTTGCAGTTTCACCCGCTCAATCGAATTACTGCATGCAATAATGATTTTCTTAGTTAAACACAATGTGTGTGTCAGAATTACACAGAACAGGTGTTTCAAGTGCTTGTGCTTCCTTTGAATTACTGTACAGCACTCTTGACTTTTATATGCCAGTGTGTGTGTGGTAATGGTAACATCCTGCTGGCCATTAGGTTGTGAAACCATTCACATTCCAAGGAACTTTTCTATTAGGCATTTGGCAACAGGAGGTACATGTCTACATTATTTTAAGTAGCATTTCAAAAAACAAGACTGAATTTCAGCAGTCAAATTGATTCATACATTCAAACTAATGCTGTAAAGTCTCATAGTAATGCCAACAATTAAGCGAGATACGAGTTGTACCTGTAGAACTACAAAACATCAACAAACTCATACAGAGGCAAAAATGTAGCCCTTTGTTGCTTGCTTTGACACCGCAAATAGTTTTTGCATTGTAATTCTCTGTGTTAGTAAAAAATATCAGGAGTTAAACTTGATTAAATCTGACCCTTTCTAATATATGGAAGGTCGTTTCAGGTAAATTGGACCACTTATCCATAGCCATTCACCTAAATTCACCCTATATCTAGAGTCTTGAAGTTCAGACACAATAAGGGATAATGGAAAATAATTTAATTTGAGATAGACCTGTGACTATGAATGGATTATTCTTATCTTTTTCTACATAGACCTTAGAACACTTTCATTTCTGACATTTACACATTTCCCGCAAGCAGTTGATTTCCACATTATCAAGGGATTGAGTGATTAGATTAAAAGTGTGAGGTAAACACTGAACAATCATTTAAACAGCATGCACCGACCAAGTTACTGTTGCTCACAGGAAATCTAGATACGAGGTCAAATATTGCATTTGCAAGGTATTTTCCTATAGTATTTTTAAAGTAAAGATGATTAGAAAGAAACTGAGAAATTCAAAGTGACTGTTGCTCCACTCTGAGAAAAAAATCAGAGTATCCTGCTCTAATGTAAATTCAGTGCTTGCTATCTCAAGGAGTATTTACATTATATTACAACTTCAAAAGTATGTGCAAACCCTTTACAAGTCTTCAAAAGTCCCCTGAGTAGACCTGCTGCTTGAATGAGGTTATATTTAAAATGGTTTATAAGATCTATAACGTGAAAAAAAAAAACTGAAGGATTTTTAACATTAAGACAAAATGAGAGGTTTCTCTTCTTCTTTCTTGGCTAAAAGCACTGAAAGCATTGATGAGGAGAAAAAGTAGAATTCCACAGTGTAGCTGAGTTCATAGAGCTCCAGATTGACACACAGAAACCATTCAAAGACAGCAGAGATGTGCTTGAAGAAGTAATCCTCCTGGATGAAGAAGATGCCATCTGATGAAAGAAGAGTTATGGAGGAAAAACAAATGCGATAACTAGCTATAAGGGACAGTTCTTCAATGACTCACCCTCATGTAGCTCCACACCTGCCTGTGGAACACAAAAGAAGATATTTTGAAGAATGTTGGTAACAATAACAGGTAGGGACAAAAAATACAATGGGAGCCGAAACTGCTTGTCAACATTCTCCAAAAAATCGTATTTTGTGTTTCACAGAAGAAAGAAATGCATACAGGTTTGGGTAGACATGAGGGTGAGTAATATAAATGACAGAATTGAGTATGAGAATGACAGAATTGATATGAGTCATAGAAATGACATTTTTAAACATGACAAGCTTTAAACAATATACAATCTCCCTGGAAAGTTTTTTCATCAGAGAAACCTGAATACGATTTGTTTTGTTTTTGAGCAGCAAATCAGCATATTAGACTGATTTCTGAAGGATCATGTGACACTGAAATAATGAAGCATCGCTGGAATAAATTAAATTATATTAATGTATAAGATATATTAAAACAGAAGACTTATTTTAAATTGTAATGATTTTTAACTAATAGTTTTTACTGTATTTGTAAGACTTAGTGAACATACGCGACTTCTTATTAAAACATCAATCCCACATATGTGAATGGTAGTGTACTTTTTTGAGCCTTTTAAACCTATTTTTACATAATGTTTTCCTAAATGAGTCTGCTTTATTTCTATAAAATAATATTACTTTACTTCTATAAAATTGTTAGGGCCTGTGTATATCTAAAGACACCTGCAACTACAACCGCTCTTCCTTTTCACCTGTATGTCATGCTGACCTTAGGATTTTTGTAAGCATAGACATACTGAGCCATAATTAATAAAAATACGCAAAATATTTTGAGCATAAAAGGATACAGAGGATGGTGGCAGTAATCTGGATAAATGAGGAGACGATGCGTAGAGGGTAGAGAACCCGTTCACATCCAGTCAGCATACATTTACTAGTGAGGGAGGTCAGGATGGTCATGTACAGACACACAAACACAAAGCTCACAGCAGCACCCAGGTAATGGAGCAACACCAGCTCTGCTGGCTGCAAGAAAACACAGGAAACTATGTCTATTCATATCTATTTGGTCATTTCACTACACACTCTGAAAAAAAAGGTGTTTCACATTGATGCCATTTAAGAACCATTGTGGGTTTCTCAAAGTACCTTTAAGTGAACAGTTCTTAAAAGAACCATTTTTTTTAATTAATGTGAAAAACATTTGAAAAATGTAACAAACTGTAAAGAACCTTTTGTGTTATGGAAAGTTTCCAAGAATGTTAAAGGTACTTTAGATGTCAATACAGTAAGTAAAGAGAATGTTTCAGTTAATTCTGTTTTAAACAAGGATATGTAATTACTATGGAATTACAAGTTTGTGATGTGGTTGTATAGTAAAAACGTAATTAAATATATTGGGGGGAAAAAACAGGTTAAGGTTAAATTAACAGGTTAAAACAGTCTATCAACCATGCAAAGAGTTTGTTTTGTGACTCCACCTATGATTGACTTCACATGAATGTTGTCATACAACCTGTTATCTTATATACATGGTTAAGGACCTTTATTTTTGTCAGTTTTTTCAGAGTGAGGCCACTGAAAGTAAGGATAGTGTTAGACTCTTTTGTTAAGGCCATGTCACCTGAGAATCCCTTTATTAAATGAATGGTTCACCCAAATATGAAAATTAGCTAAACATTTTCTTACCCTTAGGCCACTTAAGATATAGATCAGTTTGATTTCAAGAAATTTAGCACCACTTGTTCAGCATTGGATCCTCTGCAGTGAATGGGTGCCGTCAGAATGCGACTCCAAGCAGCTGATGAAAACACCACAATAATCAATAATCCAGTCAATTAACATTCTGTGAAGTGAAGTGTGTGTTTGTAATAAACCCATTATTAAGGTGTTTTAACTTTAAACTGTGACTTCTGGCCAAAATAAGTGTCCATAATCCATTATAATGCCTCCTCATTCCCTGTTGTCCTCTCACATCAAAATCCACCAAAATAATTGTTTACAACTGTTTTCACTTTGTAAACGGTGCTTGATCTGTGCATATTTCTCTACAGATTCACATGAGACAACTTTTTCACTGGAGAAAGCAATATTATGGATAAAGGATTCTAGTATTTTAGAAACAATGTTTTGAAGTCGATGGATTTGTTTCTTACAAACATGCAGCTTTTTGATTCACAAGATGTTAATTGATGGACTGGAGTCATGTGGATTACTTGAGGATTACTGTGACGTTTTTATCAGCTGTTTGGACTCTCATTCTGACGGCACTCATTCACTGCTGAGGATTAAGTGTTGTAATTCTAAATTTCTCCAAATCTGTTCTGATGAAGAAACAAACTCATCTACATTTTGAATGGTCTGGGGGTGAGTAAAAATTCTGCAAATTTTCATTTTTGGGTGAACTATTCCTTTAAGAATTTTTGTAGTGATTTGTCAGCGCTTATACAAAAAAAAGAAGTAAAATTACTCAAGGGTATTCTACTGTACTTACATTGCAGTTCCCTGCCATGAAAGCACCCACAGACACCACACAGCCTAAAATCATTGCAATTTTACTGAGTAGAGAATGAACACTGTTCCTGTCCAGGATGTGTGCATGATGGAAAACGCAAAAAATCAGAACTGTGCGGACAAAGAGAAGATGTATTACACAGATTGTCTCTCTTTAAACCACAATACAATTCACTGCCATGAGTGATAAAAATTTAATTTAATTGAATGCATTTGTCAAGACAGATGTGAAACATAATCTGAAAACCCACACAAAAATGAACCAGCATTGATCGTTGCTGTGAAAAGAGAGTTTTCTGGAAAGTTTGTTCCACTTGTGCTGCAAAATAACAGAAAATGCCCGTCATTCTTTTGGATTATGAAATGGAAAATAATAGGTGTTTTAGAGGTTAATGTGTTTTACAGACCTTATGGTGGGAACATTATCCAGGGTGCAGCAATTCCCTGTTTCATTTGGGTGACATGAATTTCTGTATTCCCTGTTACATTAAAAAAAAATGTTATAATGAAACATGCATAACAGAATGATAAGTTTAAATACTGCTGGTTGAACTCTTCACTTTACCAGTTATTAAGTGAGCAGACATGGTTGAAACTTAATGCAAGTCCGTATCTGTAAAGACAAGAGAACTCTTTACAACACAAGTCATTTAGAGTCACTTTGATTTGTTTACAGAGGCATATATTACACTGTTCGGCATCATATTTGCTGAATGAAATCCAATATTGGTTTCTTACTAATTTTGTTGTTCTAATTCCAAATGCCTGTTTTGCTGAATCTGTGTGATTCAGATCATTTTTGCTTTTGACAACCATTTGTAAGGTGAAGAAAGTTTGTGTTAACCCTAAATCACCAGAAAAACTGCCACAAAGACATGATTCCTGTCTTCCTTTGAGCCAGCTTACTAACTATTTGTTCCATTCACAGCCTACACTGTAAAAAAAAAAATCTGTGACATTTACGGTAAAATACCGGCAGCTGTGGTTGCCAGAACTTCACCGTAAAAAATATGGTAGCAACATTTTAGGTTTAACCTGTTTGCACGTTTTCTCTTGTACATTCCTGCTCATCTTAATATTTATTAAGTCTACAGTATACTGTCCTGCGCATTTTATTTTATTCTTATTTTTTTAATCTTTTTTCCATACCTATATTTATATATAATTTTCTTGTGTTTGTATTCCTTAATAACTGCACTGTCCATGGAGCGGACCTGACTTACATTTCACTGCTGGTCATATATTCTCTATATAACCATGTATGTGACAAATAAAAATCTTGACTCTTGAATCTTGAATATTGAATATTGAAGTGTTAATATCTGTTTTGAACCATTCCAAAACTGGTGGTGATGAGAAAGTCACATGATGAACCAAAGCTCATCACAAACAGCTTTTCTGCGAGCTGAGGAGGACAATACTTATATATAGAAGGTGCACAGTGTCATTCACACTAACACTAAACCCCATCATGGTGACACACATGATACTGAAATAATGCAATAAACATTAATTTAACAACATTAGATGTAAGATTAAACCCTAGGGTACACAACTGATAAGAAAAACTAAGAGACATGTTATTTCAACAAAAAAACATCAAATATGATGCGTCATGCAGGGAATTCTGGGAGTGTCAATTTACGGTTTTTCACTGTAAATTATACAATGACTTTTACTTTTTCACTTCCAAAAACGTAATTTTAACAGTATTTTACTGTAAAATTACATTAAATGTAATTACATTTATTCACCGAATATAGTATGGAAACTTACTGTTAACCAGTTAACAGGTTTTTACTGTAGCATTTTTACAGTCTTTTACTGTTAAAATCACAATCGTTTTTTACAGTGTATTTATGTACTGCATAAATGATTCTGGAGAATCTGACATTATTTTATGCCACTCCTTGCAGATTGTAAGTTAAATGATACATTTTGAATACTTCTTTTTGTAATTAAAACTTTTGAAAATTTTGTAATTTAAACATTTGATTGCTTTTGTTATTTTGATAGTGCATTATGTAATGTTTTATTTATATTTTTAACTCGGCACAATCAAATTATAGGCCTTTTTATTTGCAAATCTTTTTTTTTTTTCAAGTTGCAGAAAGAAAAGAAAAATAGTACTAAAATTAGACCCAAAATACTGTGCTTTACTAATTCTATTCAGTGTTCTTGCTCTAGTAGAGATGCATAAGGATTGTTTAATTAGTAACCTGGAACCTCTTTATACAGCATGTCTCAGAAATTGACGAGCATTTAACAATGTATGTGATAATTTGTCTTAGATCAGACTCCCCTTCCAGAGAGCAGAAAAGACCAGTCTTGACTTGTCATTGAGTTTTTCTGATCCTGACTTTGGTTACTGAGTTTAACGTATAATGTGCCTTGACGGTTATGACATCAGCACTGAAATTACTTGCCTCTTGTTGTTGCTTTGTTGTTAAACTTGTTATGCAACAATCATTTACACGTCGGCACCAATGTCATAGTGTAGATATTAATGAATTATGACTGAAACATAAATTACGATTAAATCTATGCCTATCTATCTTTCTATCAATCAATCAATGAATCAATCTATCTATCTATCTAGCTAGTATTCTCATCAACAGTGAAGAGATATAAGAAATAATAATAGTAATGCAAAAATTTGATCAGTAATAAAAGACTGTAACAAAAACCTCTTTCTGAGTATTAATTGACAATACATTTGCAATAGGCTATGTCATTTAAATTGAGAGAAATGGCAAAAAACCTTGTGAACTCACACTGTCCAACACCCGATGAATGACACGGCACACAGAACAATTGGTAAGATAACCCAAACAGCCATGTTTCTTGGAGAAAGTTGGTTCAAGAATAAAATAAAGTGCTGATAATCTCAGAAGTGATCCTTCCACGGAGGTCTTGAAAAGCTGACTGACATATTAGCCCCTCAGAAACACGTAAACGCGTCCTTTAGCATCTTTCACTTTTCTGCTGGCCTTACCGGTTTACTGTCTCTTCTACCAGATGAGCTACATTCTTACTTAAATACGCAAAGGAAGCTTTGAGACATGCCACCACATCCAGCCACTCCTCCTTCTTTAAGAGAAGAGAATATAACAGTCACAAGGCAACTGTAGTTGAGTCCACTCAGCCTTGACCCAGTGTTTACTTATGGTCTTACTCATAGTTGTCCTGAGAGCATGTTATTTAAAAGCAGTGGTTCCCAAACATTTCAGGTCAAGTTCCACCTTCAATCAAATCAGAACATCTAAGTGTCACCTAGTCACAACAAGGTTCCCTCGAAATTTTTAAGCATTAGGCAAATTTACTCTCTTTGAATGCAGTAGGACTGTGAAAAACAGACACATATTACAATATTTTGCTTGATATCAATAAATAAATCATAGGCCTACTGCTGTAAAAGCCTTTTCAGTCCTTTGTGTGGAAGGACCCAAGAGTAACATCATGCCTACTTTAAAATAACATTTAGAAAGGCTTGTAATATAATTCAAAAGGTTAATATGCATCATGAATTATATAAGTAGGGCCTACATATAAATGCAGTCTTTTAGTTCAATGCTTTAATATCGAATTTTAGAATCTTAATTTGATTGCATCTCAGTCCAAATAAAGACATAAGGTTGACAACCCACATCCTGCATACATTATTAGTCACAAAAAAATTTATGAACACAACGGGAAATGTAAGGCTGTCATGTGAGAGACTGACAGGCTGACCATTCATTACATTGTTTTTTCCATACATGAAGGTGAATGCTGCATTCTGTCTTATATCTAACATCTTCTGTGTTATGCAAAAGAGAAGGTAAACATAGTTTAATTAGTCATGGATGCATAGGCGGAGGGTAAACCAACTCCAGGGTAAGGCTAAAAGCAGCCAAATGTATTAAACATCATAAACCCGTCTTTTTAGGCAAGAACCAGACATGGGTGTCATGTAGGCTAAAAAAATGTTTAATGGGACTGAATTTGTATTTAACGTGATTACAATTTAATAAAAACATTAGAAATTGATAAGTATATAACGTTTCCTTTCCACGGTTATTCAAACAGCGACTAAATTATATATAGAAAGTGACATTATCACTAATATTGATCTATCGGAGTTTAAGCACTCTAAAAAAAACTATCCTTATAATCACTGAAGCTGTATACACTGTTAAATTAATCTCTTACTTAGATTGTAGGTACATCTGCGCTTTGTTGTTTATAATGAGAGAATTCGCAAGAGTCCGGAATTCAGTCAGCAAACGAGCGCGCACTCAACAAAACTGATGAGGTTGAACGATGACTCATCTGAACGCTTCTGATTGGCCATTGCATTCCTAAGCTCAACAGATGTGTGTGTGGTTGGTTAAAATGCGCAACAGTGTAAAAACGCCTTAAATGAAATATGGGGCAACATGAGCAGATCTTACTTTAATGCCCCAATCGACACTGTCTATTCATATTAACTTTGTTAGCAACAGACCTAATATATTTAATTTGTTTGTGCAGGGGCATTTTTGTCCAATTTAGTGGCATTTTTGCCCCAAGTCCCCATGGCTAAGCCTTCCCCAGCCTTACACATGCTCCGCCTATGCATGGATGTGAGTACATTTTCATTTTGGGCTAATTGTTATTTTGTCATTTTCATTTTGAGGTAACATTTCTGAAACTATGCCTTTAAGAAGGGGAGCGCTAGAAAGCGTTAGGGGCCGTTCACATATCACGTCTTTTGCGTGCTCAAGTTCATTATTTCAAATGTAGACGCGCGGCAGGCGCGCTCATAATGGAAGCGACGCGGTCGCGACGCGCTCATTTTTTCCAGGCGTGTCTGCGCCGCATCGAGATTAAAAAACATTTAAACTTTTCAGAATGCCGCAAGCGCACCGCGGGTCATGTTACAAGAACCAACCAATCAGCTTCATCCTTTCCCGTAACAACATTGAAAGCTCAGCCAAGATGAAGGAACAGCTGATCATAGCTGTACAGGGATAGCCATTTTTAAATAAATTTAGTAGCAGAGCTACTGCAAGCGATTTTTAGTGCTGCAAATCCATTTATCCTTTGCTGAAACTTCCGCGTCTTCATGGAGAGCGCAGGTCATGGTTGCTTAGCAACGGCAGACGCCTCCGGAGGGCAAGCGCCCGAACGCTTTGGAAAAAAGCCGAAAGCGGCGCGCCTAGCGTTTTCCACGCGTTTTTAGGCGCGACATGTGAACGGCCCCACTTGCGCCTCTTTTTATATTGACATGTCAGGTGCAATGCAGTTGTTTTGTCGTGATTCACTCTTATTTCATATGTATCTCGCCACATGTTTTTATAAGCACTATATATATTTTTAATAACACAATATTCATTTAACATACACACAGTCGTATTTTTCAGCAGGAGAATTATTGTCCGCTTTGGGGTCCTAAATTTCAAAACAATCGAAATGGCGGCGTCTGTAAGATGGAGTCTACTGCGCTTTATACGGTCACATCATTTGAGGTTGGAAATGACATACTTCATCTTTTACAGTATTCAAATCGAAGATGTGTATTGTTGCATAATATAATGTCAAATGATGATTGTGCTGGTTTACCACAGTAACCGTAGTTTCCACCAAAATACTACAGTAACACGATTACTTTAGTATTAACTTTATCTGTCATAAAAGTATGTATGTACGTGTGTGTGTGTGTGTGTGTGTGT